GCAGATTTCACTGGATATTGTGTATCATTAAAGTTGACGCCGGAACAGTTGAAATACTGGACTCATTACTCAAAGCAAATGATGACTATAACATCTTGTTTGGGATAGTCAACAGGTAATTTCAATCATTATTAACTATATATCTCGGCTTATTTAGTTCGTCATTTCATGATATGAACTATTTAATAACCCCTTTATTCATTTTCTTTGTCGGCGGGCAGGGCTTGGGCAAGGTTCATCAGCGTCACGGAAGGCGAATGGAAAAAAAAAGCTTAAATGGTTTCGACCCCTGGTAAGTAATTAAGTAGTACTAGCTAGCTAGCTGTCATCTCTTTAATTATCATGCTTGATTAATTATTATCTGATCAAATTCCATTCTCATAAAGGCCCTGAAGCAGGCGCAGGGGACTGATCTGTGTGCATTCTGCGTCTGCGAGAACATTCGCATGATGGCGTCCGAAAGGAGCAGATCTCAAAGACAGGAATGGGTACACTTGTCGGAACACTATTCACAATTTTTACACCATCATCGATATCTAGTCACACAACTAATACACATGCATACTGATCTCCTTCTTAACAGTTCAAAGAGGTGCGGGACAAGCTCCTAGAAACGGAGCGCGTAGAAGCACTTCAAGAGGAAATAGCGGGATTTTTGCTCGACCAGGTCATAAATCCGAAGGGAGAATACTATTACCCGCTACCGCCCCCATGAAAACCACTTCCAATTGTCATCGTGCTCCGAAGGCACCAATTAGGCTAATGCCACTGGCTCCGAAGGCAACATGCATATGTAGGAGAAATTGTATATACCTATACATGTGTGTATGTGTGAATTAATTAATATGGTGGTTTGTGAGACATTGATGATATATATATGCATGATTGGTTCTACTAGAAATTCTATTTATATATATATATATGCATAACGTGTACAATGTGTAGTATCGTAAAATACCAGCAAACGAGAAAGAATTAAAATGGAAACACAAAATTAAATGAAAAAGAAATCATAAAACTAAAACCCCCCCAAACCTTATAGTACCGCCTGGTCTTACCAACCGGTACTAAAGGGCTCCAGGCCCCCGGAGCTGGCTCGTGCCACGTGGTTGCCCTTTAGCACCGGTTCATGCTAAACCGGTACTAAAGGGGGGGGGCCTTTAGTGCCCACACTTTAGTGCCGGTTATGGAACCGGCACTAAAGGGCCTTACGAACCGATGCTATTGCCCGGTTCTGCACTAGTGATTTAGTATCGATTGGTGTTACCAATCGGTACTAAAGGGCTCCCTGCCCCCGGAGCTGCCTCGTGCCACATGGTTGGCCTTTAGCACCGGTTCGTGCTGAACCGGTACTAAGGGGGGGGGGCCTTTAGTGACCACACTTTAGTGCCGGTTGTGGAACCGGCACTAAAGGGCCTTACGAACCGGTGCTATTGCCCGGTTCTGCACTAGTGATTAGACGGTTTTAGATTTTTATCTATTAGCCCCATATGGCGGAAAGTCTCATAGTACAGGATGTTATACTGCTCCCTCCATCCATGAACACCTTGGTGAACTTATAACCTCCCACCTGAGGGGTCACCACCAATGTTAGCTGACCCGGATTGTCAACCCGGAGAGGGTGATCCTCTCTGCTCCATACGATTGGTTGTTCCGACCAGCGTAAATAACGTGGTACGGCCGGTTCAACAGAATTCACCGCTCGCTTATGGAGTTTCCGGTCTCGCTTATCCAAGCTAGTCGTGAAAACATGATATTGCCCACTATTCAACTGCTTTGGATGGCTCTGATAACCCGACTGCTGATGCTGCTGGCTGTAACCACCTTGGTTATTCTGATTATTCTGATTGTTATGTCCACCCTGATTGCCATTGAAGCCAGAACCGGAAGCTCCTCCATCGTGACCCGGCCCATGGAAACCGGATCCTAAGCCACCACCTGATCCATGATCATAACGGAAAGCATTAGAATTTTTGAACTCCTGCATAATGTAACAGTCCTTCCAAAGGTGGTTGGCCGGCATCTCCTTCGTCCCGTGCTTTGGACAGGGCTGGTTCAACAAATAGTTTAGGCGATCCGGGTTAGGATTCGGAGCTCCACCGCGATTCGCCGCTTTACCCTTGTGTCGCTGACCCTTGTCTTGCGCGTTAGTATTAGCCACAAAGTCTACGCTGCCATCCGCTTTACGTTTGCCTCCGTTCCCATGACCTGCCGTGTTGTGTTGCTGCCCCTTGGTGTTGCTGTTCTTTTTTCCCTTCCCTGCCTTGTCATCATCAGACTCGGGATCCTTGGTACTATCAGAATCAGCATACTTCACTAAAGCACCCATGAGGGTTCCCATGTCATACAGTGGCGCTTCATTCGCCCCAATTTTAAACCGGCAATTGACTTCCAGGGTTATGATCGCAGAATCAGCGTTGATACGGTCTGACGAGTGCAAAATTTCCGAGACACGGCGCACCCAATGGGTTGTCGACTCTCCTTCCTCCTGGACATAGGCCGCTAAGTCCACTATTGACATGGGCTGCTTACAGGCATCCTTGAAATTCTGGACAAATCGGGCTCGCAAGTGGGCCCATGAGCTGATAGAATTGGGCGGCAAGCTCTTTAACCAAGTACGGGCCGTCCCTTCAAGCATCATGGTGAAGTACTTTGCACATGCGGCCTCATCCACATCTAGCATCTCCATGGCCATCTCATAACTCTCTATCCATGCTTCTGAAGCCAAATCGGTAGTGTAATTTGGCACTTTGCGTGGACCCTTGAAATCTTTGGGTAAACGCACGTTGTGTAAAGCGGGGATTAGACAGGGCACCCTCAAAGAACTAGAAGTGACCCCTGGCTCGACTGAGGTGGTGGGACGAACCGGCATAAGCTGACGTGCCTCGTTTTGTGCTGCTAACTCGGCCTCCCTGCGTGCCCGGGCCCGGTCTACCACTTCCTGAGCGTCACGAATACCGCCCGTCGGGTTATTGCCACGGGCTGCCTCACGGTTCCGTGCATTGCTTGATACGGCCGGTTCATCCACACGCCTGCTGTAGCTCCGGCTCGGACGAGGGGTGGAATGAATCCGGTCACGGCTGTATGAATATGCTTCCTGTTGGATCAAAGCGGTCCGAAGGAGCTCCTTGACCCGGCGCGTCTCCACCGCCTGCGGAGAATCACATTCGATCGGGATGGCCTCCAATCGTGAAGCGGCAGCGACAAGATTGTCCATAGGATTGGAATAACGACCCGGAGGTGTCTGGACCGGCTGAGGTATGATATTGTTCTGTCGAGGAGGTTCCATTAAACGAGGTTGGACCGGCACGCCTGGCCCAGGCGCTTCCGCCCGGTTTACCTCTGGCGGATTACTGGTTCCTGCCCCTGGGGTGTGAAAGAGATTTTTGGCGTCGAAAACCAAAGGCAAGCGGGACCGGTGCTTCCGCTTCAAGACCTCATGCGACGCGTTCTGATCCAGCATAAGCTTGTAGGCCTGGGCATCTAAAGCGGCCCGCTCTGCGGCCATCCTGTTGTTTTCGGCTGCCAGGTCGGCCTTGGCCTGATTGATCTGCTCCCTCACTTTTGTAATTTCTGCGTTGTGGGCATCCTGATGCGCCGGGTTGGCCTCCGCCATAAGCACAACTAGCGCATCAAACAGATCAGATAAGACTTGAGCCGACGGGCGCACAGGACCTCCTACCCGGCCGCCGCCGCCGCCGAAGATCCGGAGAACATTGCCGCTGCGGTCGAAGAGTGGATCGCCGCTTGTGTACCGGCCATGAATATTCCAACCCGGTTGGGCAGATCGGAGGGGTCCAGAATACTGTCGCCATCGGAACAGCCCCCAATCCGGTCGTCTTGCAACTGATACAACGATTCGGTTTCTCCGGTTGAGGACTCGTCGCCGGAATAGACGACGGTCTCGCTACCATATCCCGATCCGTCCTCATACTCTCCTCCGTGGATGACCCCCACAAAGGCACGCTTCACGGCCGGTTTAACCTGGGCAGATCTCGCACGCTGAGCCGTCTCGACGAGGTCGGTGCAGATGTCCGGCTCAGGACCCGGTTCACCGATCTTGCCGATGAAGACATGTATGCCACCAAAGGGGACCCGGTACCCGTACTCAATTGAGCCGGCCTCGGGGCCCCATCCTGCGTCGTCGATGTAGAGCTTGCCGCAACGACTCTTGGTCATCCGGCCCACAGCATAGCCCTTGAGTCCTTCGAACTTGTCCTCCAAGAACGTCAAACCATCGTGCGATAGCCCCACGGTGGGCGCCAACTGTCGTGGTTTTGTCACGGCAGATGTCCTCGTGAAAGGACTTAGTCGTGGAGCCATCGCTACGGGTTAACTTGAAGGGGTTAAAGCGGACACGAGAGTTTATACTAGTTCGGCCCCTTCGATGAAGGTAAAAGCCTACGTCTAGTTGTGATGGAATTGATAGGGTTTCGATGACTAGGGAGCAAACAAGCTTCGCCTAGGCCTCGAGTTGTTGTCTGTTCTCCCCGAACCGCCGCCGGGTCGTCCCTTTATATACACAGGTTGACGCCCGGCCGGTCTACAGAGCCCCGAGGCCGACTCATACAAAGTGTCCGGCTCGGTCTCTCCTTTCCTAACTTATATTACAAGTTTACATAGTCATGGCGTTTTACCATTATGGGCCCTAATCCGGCTTTGGGCTGTGGGCTTCTAAGTTTCTTTAGTAAAACGCTATGTTCTGGATCTTCATGGGCATCAACATAGTCGAGGGTGAACCGGGCCCTCCTAACCGGTTTACACGCAGTAGCTATATCCTCAACAAAAACTGTTTCCCACCACAACCGTTTTGCATTCCGTGACAAAAATGGGAAACACGCTTGGCAGCATTGTGCAGACCATTGAGGTCTTTGTGGCGCCTTTGACTTTAAATATCAACAGCAAGCGCCAATATCCATGCATTGGCGGGAGACGATGGATCCTCTTATCTTTGTTCCAGAGAGAATCATTAGCAGATCAAGAGGGTAAGATACTAACGAATGCTTTGCGCCATTCTAGATGTTCAGAATATAACTTCCATGAAGGATTTGGATTTGTTTTATTGCAAAAAAAAAAAGAAAAAATCAGCGGAAAATGCAGCCCAATTGATTTTGGCCCGGCCCGTATTTACCAAGGGTGGACTTCTCTCATCCTCACTCTCAAATCCGCCGTGCTCGAAACAAGCGGCCCGTATCCAGCCACGCATGTCCGCCGCCGGCGACGGGGAAGATGGCGCCGCCGCCGCCGCCGCCACCGACACGGTGGTCCTCGAGATCACCGACGCGGCAGCATACCCATCCTCCGCGCCTCCACGTCCCCCAATCACAGTCTCCGCCCTGGACGCCCCCCTCCCGTCCCCGACCGTCGTCGCGGTCCGCGCCGACCGGAGCAGGCTAATCGACAGCTCCTCCTACTTCCGCGCCCTCCTCGGCGGCAGCTTCAGGTCAGCAAACGCCCAGCCCCCGAGCTAATGATTCATCCTCTAGCTCAACCTCCTGAGCTAATTGACTCATCTCCAAGCAAGCGAGTGACCTCGATTTCTCTTAATGGTGCCTGCAGCGAATCGGGCAGCGGCTACGTGCGGATCAGCTGCGACCTCGCCGCCGCCGTGCAGGTCCTCCGGTACCTCTTCGAGCCCCCCGCGAGCTTCCCCATCTCGCACCACAACTTCCTGCCGCTGCTGGAGGTACCCTGATCCTCTTCTGCGTGGACGCCGTCTAATCCTAGCGGAATCAGCGACTCCCTTGTTCTTGTCAGTAGCTTATCCTAGTGAAATCAGCATGCTCAGAGCTTTTCTTTTGAGCCTTGAGCGCAGCTTTCATGTATGCTAATGTTACGGATTAGCTCGAGTGCTTGAGCTCTATGGTCATTTGGTTGGATGATGCATTTTGCTTACTTTCGGCTTCAGTTATGTTTGTGTATGGTATGGTCCTGCTGTGCTGCTCGGCTTCTGACGTGGGGGCGCAACACAATGATGTTTTGTCCTCTCAGGGTGCTCTGTTTCTCGCTGTCGAGAGCCTTCTAGCGGACTGCGAAAGGTGGTTCAGAACCGTGAGATCTCGAAATTCCACCACGGTGGCACCGTTGGATTTCATAATCGAGGCCTGGTACTTCGCTCAAAAACATGGTGAGTGTGATGTTTCCGTAACGGTTTTCTTGGAAAAACGTTTTGCTCATATGTTTTTTCTACTTTCTATGCGGCTGTAGGGGTTACTTTTGTTGAAGACGTATGTCCAGGATATCTAGCTCAGAATTTTGTAGGTACAACTATACTCTGTTTCAATTTTGTGTGTCTTTCTGTTTTCAGCGTTTTTTCGGTTTGATGTGCTCATACATTATTGCGAAGTCCCATCATTGCTTCCACTAGCAGTTTAAGATTAATGAACCGTTCTGGGTTTCAGTGTTGATGACTTGTTATCTCTAGTTGACTTCTAAAAAAAAGTTTGTCCCACTTTTTAGACGTAGAAGCTCGCCAAATTGAACTCATTAGAGAGGAAATATGTCTATGCAGTTCCATCTACTTTTAGGCAGGGGGGCAGCTGGGCAAGGGTTGCTTTAGGTCAAACTTGATGGTGGTCTTTCTTAATTGTAGCATTGCATCTGCGCTTATGATTCTGCATGATTTTAACATACATGAAACATCCTTTTTGCATCATGCATAGTTAAATAAGCTATTCCCTTTTCTTTTCGAAAAAAAGCTATTCGCCCTTAACATCTGGCATTTGTTCTACTCTGTTGCTTATTTTTTATAGTTAAACATATGACGTACCATGTCTTTGCTTTATTCGGCGCTGTTTTTTATAAGATATCCCAGTTTTTCCGAAATTATGTTTTTTAATTAATTTGAGGCCAACTTTACCTGTTTACTAGAAGTGAGGATTACTAGTTGATTAGAAGTTCATATGAGAAGTTTTTGTAAAAACAGGCTTCAACAGTTATCGCTCTAATTACTGTTGTGCGAATCTCATGCAGGTACAAGTTATCTCCAGTAGGTCATTTGTTCATATACCTTATGATCTGCTGTGCTCCACCATTGAATCCCCACACCTGACTGTGGATAGGTCTGTTTTTTTTGTCTTTTCAATGTTTTTTTCTGTGGCCAGGTTGCTATGCTTTCCTCTCTGTGCTGAAAAATGGATTTCCTGACCATTTCCAGTGAAAAGCAATTGTGTGAAGCAATTTTATCTTGGATTTCCGCAAGTAGGCAATCCTGTGAACAATCAGTCTCCAACTCAGCAGATAATGAACTCTCCCTTCTTAGCAAGGTACACCTTTCTGCAACATGAGTATTAGCTGACTTGTGGCATCAAAACTTGCTGCCACAGCGGCATGTGTATGGACTATACACACACATTTGTAGTGCAATTAGCTTGCAGATGTCTTGCCATGTTCATTGATGTATATAATTTTTTTTTGCAGGTTAGGGTATGCCTTTTACCTTTAGGATTTGCGGCAGGTATACCTCCTTGGTTTGGAGCATTTGTTTTATGCAGTTTTCATGTTTTATCTTTCTCTAAATTACACTCCCCACACTTCTCTTTCATGCATTCCTGACTCTTCAATCCTACTTAAGGTACAAAGAGAAACTGCTTTGAATTTGGGAACAATGCCGTATATATGATTCTTAATCTGCTCAAGGACAGTTTGCAAACTCTACTGTATACAGTTACCGATGACAACTTGGATAGTTATCGTATTCGATTAACAGAATATTCCAAGGTTTTCCTCATACCCACTTCCATACATTATTGTTGCAGTGTTAAATTTGAAACATCTAGAAATCGTGGTCTTTATAAATGATTATTTTCCTCTTCTTTCTTCACAAAATTATAATACTACCTTCCAAACTGAGTAGTAACCTTACCGAAACTTGCTACAACGTCTTCATAAATTTCCATCTTCGAACGACTGTTGTATATGTACTATCCATTATATGGCACTTTTGAAAAGCTTCAGGTTGAATATAAATCTTCTTAGAAGCTTCATGTGATTCGATATGACAGTTGGAATAATCTTGTGCTGCATTCTGAATTTTACTTTGGTTCTCCCTTTTCCGGATATTATACATTACTTTTGAAGATGAGGACTTTGTTTTGCAGAAAATAGTACTTTCGGGATGTCCCCAGTTAACTACGCAATTCCTATACATATCGGCGCTCCCCACTGATCTAGATGCTGTATTTAAGAGAACTATAGTGAGCGATGTTAACGATGGATGTTTGAACCATTACAATGGGCTGGTGAAGAAGGCTAAAACCTTGTCATTTATAAATGTACGCATTGTGGATCTCTCCAAATGTCCAAATGTACATTTTGGTGCAGCAATTTTATGGATCAAGTGGGCATTTCCAGAATTGAGGACGTTCATAGCTTCCTATTGTTTACTGTTTCAGTTTGAAGATTTGCAGTATTTGTTACTGAGATGTCCATGGATTAATGAAATCAATTTGAGTATTGATACAAGCGTTATACTATCCAAGTACTCAATTATATCTTCTAGATCTGAAGTACGGCGTGACGTGAATCGAAATCTATCTAGCTATTACATGCAAAGTGGATTATATGGGACCTCAGTAAACCCAGTTTTCTCAAATATATCAAAATTGATACTGGAAGGCCGAAATGATATTACTGGTATGGGAAATGTTCTGTGATTTAAAAGTATGCATATTTTCTTTGCGACCTTGTAACTGGGTTTCTTCTTATTTTGTGTCTGTCTTTGTGTACAGATATGAACTTGCTGGAGATATCCATGCTGAAAAGTTCTCTATGTTATATAAACATTAAACATTGCACCCTGTTGACAGATGATGGTATATCTACACTACTGTTGAATTGTAGAAAAATGCACTCGATGGTTCTTTCTTATACATCGTTTGGAAATCATTCAATTCAAACCCTATGCTCATTGGATCCTTCAGATAGCTTTTCTTACCATAAGGATGAACATGCTCATGTTATGGCATTTAGGTTGCAAGAATTGCATCTGGAAGGCTGTGAAGGTAATTAAATATTCAAATATCATACCTTTTGTTCCTTATCCAAGGTTCTGTTGCAACTGTGCAATAACTTGGCATGATTAATCTGGGTAATGTGAGTTCTTCTATTTATAGGTATTAGTTGTGCTGCTATGTCCCAGCTATTGAGTAATATGAATATTGTGAAGTCCTTATGCTTAAGGGAGACATCACTTGCAGATGGCGCTCTCTGCAACTTTGTTGGCTCTTCACTTGAGTATCTTGATATTTCAGAGACTGTGGTATGATTTTTTGTTTAAATTGTATTTTATGTTCAGTGTACTTGCCATGCTATATATGTTATACTCTTCTCCTGATTTTTTTTGAAAGAATGTCATTTTCCTAATAAATATTGTAATCTTCTTATGAACCAACCACTGTTTAGTTGATTGAACAAATATTGAGCTTGGAACTATAGACCAAAAATATTACATATTTTCCAAATATTTGTTATCAAGAACACATAACAAACTGTAGACCCTTTGAACGTAGGATTTTGATGATAAACTTTTGTGCTTTTATATTTGAATGACAGGACTATATAAAGTGTGTTGCTCTGATGGCTGCAAGGGGCAAACTTTGAAAATGCAGTGCTAGTTCACTGTTAATGAGTTCTTTTATTGTTATGGCATGGCAGAATCGTCACTGTGCACACTAATATGATAATATCTGGTTCTTATGTTTTCTTCCTGGGACGAACTTACAGGTTTCTATGGTCTCATTGGCACCAGTTATACGAAGAAACTCTAATTTGAGCTGCTTGAAAACAGCTGGATGCCGTAACCTACTGTTTGAACAGGGTGAGGTACAATCCACGAGTGGTAACAAGTATGGCAGGTTTCTTCAGGAGATAACCAGTACGTGCTATTTAGAGGATGTAGAAATGGGCTGGGCATTTTGCCCTGTTCGAGTTGATGACCTCATTCCTTCTTTTAGTAAAGTAAGGAGGATGACAGTTGGCCTTGGCACAACATTACCGGAGAATATCCTGCATGCTCTTCCTGAGATCTGCCCGTTTCTCGAGTCTTTGGTTCTTAGGTTTCAGGTGTGCCCTCCTCTGTCCTATTAAATAATATAATTACCTGTTCCTTTCACTGTATAATGATTGTATGATCTGCATCCAGGTAATCTCTGACAGAGTTGTAAGAAATCTATTGGAATCATCAACAAATCTTCAGGTGCTCTGCCTGCAGTATTGCCTCGGCAGTTTGACTTCATTTAGCTTTCAAACAATGGCACCAGCATTAAGAATATTACGGCTCCAGTGGGTTACTCCATGGATCACAAATGATGATCTGACAATTCTTACACAGAATTGCAATTTAGTTGAACTTTCGTTGTCTGGTTGCAAACTCCTTGACTCCAGTAAGTTTACTTTCAAGTTCATTATATGAATCCATTTGTTATTTCGTTGATTCGAGTTTTTCTTGACCCACAGGCTCTAAAGAGATAATCTCTTCTGGGTGGCCAAACTTGGCATGTTTACAACTTGAGGTATGCATGAACTAACTGTGGATATTACATGGCGCACATGCGTAAAATTTTATCCAAGGGTGCAAATCTGGAACCTTTAGGGTACCCTCTGACCCTACTTAGCTCAACCAATTGAACTGAAGTTTCAAAAACAAAGTGAATTCTGAAAATATAGTTCATTTGGTTGAAGTAAAGAGGGCCGGAGGGTAGACTCAAGGTTCCAAATATACATGCGTACTTATATCTGTATGTGGGTACTTTTTATTTGGACATCGAAGCTGTGGATTTCTCTGCTAAATCCCGTCTCTTATGGACCTCATGTTTGTTGATATACAGGAATGTGGTCAGATAACACTTGATGGGGTTGATTCTATTTTAGATTGTAAAGCGTTGGAAGAAGTCTTACTTAGGCACACCGTGAGTATGAAAAACTCTATACCTATGTTGAATCGAGCCATTACAACTAATAATCCAGCGGAAACAAGAATTTTACCCTCAAAGATTCAAATATGCTCCTAACCAGCTTAAAGTAGTTCAAAGTGTAAAGATTTTTTTTCTTCTGAATCTTGAAAATGAAAACTGCAGGGTAGAGGTATTGGAAGAACCATTGTAACAGATGCTATCAGAGAGGTAGGTACCTACGTCCATCTGCCTTCTCCAATCTACAACACATTCAGCCTTTGCACCACTGCAACCCATCACTAATTTGCTCCCCATCACAGCTACCGCTCCTAAGGAAGCTGGCGCTGGATCTCTGCGACGCGTCCGAGAGAGGCTACGACACCCCGAACGTGAGAATTACAGCACCCCAAAAGATTTCCCAAAGCAAGCAACCCGGTTAGATTCAGAGAGGAGAGGGTCTGTGTGCTGACATGTTTTGCCGCTGTTTTCGAAGGTTCCGGAGGGGAAGATGATAAGGAGCGTGAGGATGAGCAGGTGCAAGAAGTCGCCAGCGGTGGCGAGGTCGTGCTTCGGAGAGGCGCCCCCCTCGAGCTCGAACCCGAGGCGGGTGCAGCACAGGGAGACCATCGTGCTGGAGTGGAGCAGCCGGCAGCTGACGACCACCGTAGTGGAAGAAAGACTCTAGTCATGTGACGGAACTTCTTTCTTTTGAGAGAAATACTGTAATATGTCTTGGAGCAACAGTTTATTTTTGCTTGCATCTTTTTTCTGGGGAATGTCCAAGTAGAGAGGTGTTCTGCCATTTGTACAAGGAGAATGAAATCGTCCAATTATTTGGGAGAGGAACCGGGAAAATGGAACAAAAGTGTTGTGGCGTTGTTTTGAAGGTTTTTAATAATATGAATGGCACGGTTACCTGAAATATCATCATGCAGATGGCAATTTTTTTATGTTATGGATAATAAAAAGGAAACATGTGGACAAATGTACTATGCTGGTTAAATACAATAAGATATATAGATATGGGATTTAAATTATATCACATGGAGCTGGTTTGCCCGAGTGGTTAAGGGGGAAGACTTAAGATCTTCTGCAGTCAAGCTGCGCGTGGGTTCGAACCCCACAGCCAGCACTCCGTCGAATTATCTTTTTAATCTTTCTGTTTCTCTATTTTTTTATTAAATTATTTCTGCTTCTCCTCCTCCTTTCACTTCCTCCCCTGCTTCCTAATCACCTTCTTTGCCAAAGCAAGCCCATCTTCTGTTGGCACAGTTGGATCATCACCTTCAACTTCATTGAGCATAGTGGTCTTGACGGAATTGGCGATCGAAGCAAGCAACTTGCTTTGCCCATTCAACTACAACCAATAATGCATATGTATGAAGTTTTTCTACTCCATATTATCATATAGGGTTCAGCAACGAAAAGATTTTTCTTTTATCCGAGGTGATACTAATTTTTTGTGCTTTCGTGTGCTAGAAAAGAAAAACGGATTGTCCAGATTTCGTATCTGGGCCGGGCGTTAAGGCCCAGTGCAGCAAGGCCACTTATTTTCCTACGCACACAGCTGGCAGAACCCTATTTACCGCACAAAGCGTCAAATACCCAAAGTTTCGCACAAGTCGCCCAATACTGGGCCGGCCCATTTTCGTTTTATCCTATATTCAGTCTTTTTTCTCTTTCTTTTTTTCTTTCCTAATTATTTTTACGTATTAACCTTCCAAGTTTAGTTTCGTTTTTTCTTCTCTAATCGAAATTATCAAAAAACCTCGGAATTTCAATTTTTGGTTCACTTTTTGATAAATATTCGAATGTCTAAAAAAACAATTGTTTTATAAAAGTTCAGAACTTTGTTTTTGTTCTGAAGTTTGTTCAAAACAAAAAAAAAGTTCCCAATTTTTCAAAAAATGTTTATATTTTATGCAATTATTCACAATTTCCAATGTTTCTTTTTGCATTTAGAAAAATGTTTCAAATTTGAAAAAGTTTTTTTTGTGAAATGGTTACGAAATTAAAATAATTTTCTTAATTGAAAAAACATTTTCAAAAACTTTCTGAATGTTCAAAACATGTTACCATTTAAAAAAAATTGTTCACTAATTCAAAAAATGTTCAGTTTATTATAAAAGGTTCATGTTTTCAGAATGTTTTTGTGAATTTAGGAAAATATATCCCAATTTAAAATTTTGCTCATGTCTTTTGGGAATATTCAGAATTTTCAAAAACTGATTGAAATTTCAAAAAATGTTCATGTTTCATAGAATATACACAAATGCATTCTTATTTTTTATTATAGGTTTGAAAAAAATTAAAATATGTTTCAAATCTGATGCTGCATTATGTTCTTACATATCCGCGCTTGCCATTGGTCCATAGAACGTGTTTGTTCAACTAGCTAGCAGCATGTCGTCGAGTCTTTAATTTATGCGCTGCAATTAGTAATACATTTGGTTACGCCGTGATAGGAGACACCGACCAACCCCACCACTATCAAGATCTCGTCGGCCAAACATGACCCACGAGAAGATCGCGGCTCCTAGCTCTGTCGGCCACCGTTACGGAGACTATTTCCAGAGGACACATCATTTCTCTCCCGTTGCTTGTCATAATAAATATCTCCCGTTGCAACGCATGGGCATATGCGCTAGTATACCCAAAATGATAAGTGCCACATATCAGTTGTGTGGCACTCCAGCCTAGACCTTTTTTAATGGCAATTTCAGTCACGCGAGAATGGTAAATTTTAGTTACACATGACAAGTTTCTGACAAAAAAAACTGAAGCACGAAAGTTGTCATGCTTGCCAACTAAAGTTGCCATCCGACGTGTGCTCGTACCCGACGTGGTTGCCATGCTCATGGTTGCCACGTGCTCGTACCGGACGTGGTTGCCATGTTCGTGGTTGCCACGTGCTCGTACCCGACATGTGGCACTTATCAGGGGCTTAAATGTATAAAAAAATAGGGATGGGGAAAACTTATGACCCAGTTTAAAGAAACTCCAATGCGTTCATCGAAACGAACTTCACCAAATGACATGTCCAGACATTTCTGCTAATGCGGATAGGGGCGGAGGCCATCCAACCGCAGTCACCAAATGTCCACCCCTGGTTCGGCCTCCTCCATTTGACCTACATGTTTAGATCAATACTAATTTAAGCATATGTTTAATAATTGCAAACATATGTAATCGTAGCTAAAAAGCATCGGATGTTCAATAAGTTTTTACATCCAATCGATTTCAATAGTTGTCAGTCTAGTTGTCCATGCAAAGACCTCCTTCTTTGGGTCTCAGTTCGGCTGTCCGTGGCAAATACCTCACTCTTCGACTGGTCCGACACCCTCCACTTGCCTGAAGCGCTTCAATAAGCCCGCACGGCAAGGAGCAAGCTAGGACAATCTTCGCGCATCGGGATCTAAGTCCAACATCTTCACAAACAATATTTTGGAACCCTCCAAAGAGGCCTTGATCTCAAACTTCTTCTCTTGGAGCTTGAGTTTCTTTCCTTAGATCTCTATGAAGATGCCAAACATCTCCACCATCTTTCCCTCCTTCACCTCATTGTGCATGACAATTGCCTCCTTCTTCATCATGACGACCTCAAAATTCTCCGTCATCTTGGCCGGTGCCCCTTCTCGCTTCTCCTCTTTTCACTTCCTCCCCTGGTTCCTAATCACCTTCTTTGCCAAAGCAAGCCCATCTTCTGTTGGCACAGTTGGATCATCACATTCTTCTTCATTGAGCATAGTGGTCTTAACGGAATTGGCGATCGAAGCAAGCAACTTGCTTTGCCCATTCAACTACAACCAACAATGCATATATATGAAGTGTTTCTACTCCATATTGTCATATAGGGTTCACAAACGAAAAGATTTTTCTTTTATCCAAGGTGGTACTAAATTTTTGTGCTTTCGTGTGCTAGAAAAGAAAAACGGGTTGTCCAGATTTCGTACCTGGGTCGGGCGTTGAGGCCCAGTGCAGCAAGGCCACTTATTTTCCTACGCACACAGCTGGCAGAACCCTATTTACCGCACAAAGCGTCAAATACCCAAAGTTTCGCACAAGTCGCCCAATACTGGGCCGGCCCATTTTCGTTTTATCCTGTACTCCGTCTTTTTTCTCTTTCTTTCTCTTTTTCTTTCCTAATTATTTTTATGTTTTACCCTTCCAAGTTTAATATCGTTTTGTCTTCTCTAATCAAAATTTTCAAAAAACCTCAGAGTTTCAATTTTGGTTCAATTTTCGATAAATATTCGAATGTCTAAAAAAACAATTGTTTTATAAAAGTTCAGAACTTTGTTTTTGTTCTGAAGTTTGTTCAAAACAAAACAAAAGTTCCCAATTTTTTAAAAAATGTCTATATTTTATGCAATTATTCACAATTTCCAATGTTTCTTTTTGCATTTAGAAAAATGTTTCAAATTTGAATTTTTTTTGTGAAATGGTTACGAAATTAAAACAATTTTCTTAATTGAAAAAACATTTTCAAAAACTTTCTGAATGTTCAAAACATGTTACCATTTAAAAAAAATTGTTCACTAATTCAAAAATGTTCAGTTTATTATAAAAGTTTCATGTTTTCGGAATGTTTTTGTGAATTTAGGAAAATATATCCCAATTTAAAATTTGGCTCATGTCTTTTGGGAATATTCAGAATTTTCAAAACGGTTTGGAATTTCAAAAAATGTTCATGTTTCATAGAATATATGCAAATTCATTCTTATTTTTTATTATAGGTTTGAAAAAAATTAAAATATGTTTTAAATCTGATGCTGCATTATGTTCTTACATATCCGCGCTTGCCATTGGTCAATAGAACATGTTTGTTCAACTAGCTAGCAGCATGTCGTCTAGTCTTTGATTTATGCGCTGCAATTAGTAATACATTTGGTTACGCCGTGATAGGAGACGCCGATCAACCCCACCACTATCAAGATCTCGTCGGCCAAACATGACCCACGAGAAGATCTCAGCTCCTAGCTCTGTCGGCCATCGCTACGGAGACTATTTCCGGAGGACACATCATTTCTCTCACATTGCTTGTCGTAATAAATATCTCCCATTACAGCGCACGGACATATGCGCTAGTATACCCAAAATGATAAGTGTCACACATCAGTTGTGTGGCACTCCAGCCTAGACCTTTTTTAATGGCAATTTCAGTCACGCGAGAATGGCAAATTTTAGTTACACATGACAAGTTTCTGACAAAAAAACTGAAGCACAAAAGTTGTCATGCTTGCCAACTAAAGTTGCCATCCGACGTGTGCTCGTACCCGACGTGGCTTCCATGTTCGTGGTTACCACGTGCTCGTACCCGACATGTGGCACTTATCAGGGGCTTAAATGTATAAAAAAATAGGGATGGGGTGAAAGTGCGTTATATCGACTACAGGGAGGGTGAATAGGCGATTTTTATGAATTCTCCACTGAGGAATTTGCTAGTGAGGAAATTCCTTAGCAAAGAACTACTTGCAGTGGAATAATTACTCAAAAGTATGCATAGCAGTACACAAACATGGTCATCATGATGAAATGAAGACATGCACAGAGTACAGAAAGCGTAAACACAAGATAACACAGGATGAAGACAAACAGACTGGAGAAATTAAACTAAGGAAATTGAGAAAGCCTTCAGTCAAAGTCTTCAAACACAGATATGAACAAGTGCACAACACAGTTATG